ACACACACACACACACACACACACAACAACAACAACAACAACAACAAAAATAATACAACACCACCACCACTAACAACAATCACAACAACAACGGATAAGAGTGATTGTCCACTAAACCTACATACACCTCAAATGATATTGGATAGAACTTAATTTTATAATTTGTAGGCTTTGCAGTATACAATATTATTATATATGGAGTTCTCATAGGGCCTAAAGCTAGGCCTTCTCAGTCTGAGAAAGCCTATGGCCTAAGTCTAACTCAAAATTGAAAGGCGATGAGCGGGTAATGTTCTAGGCCCACTTCGACTGAATTTAGAAGGACAGGTTGGAATTTTACCGAGCAGATACAATGAACCAGTAGTGAACAAACACATTTCTCGCTAAAATCAAAGTTATGGGTTTTATGTACGAGGAGGCGGGTGATCCCAGGGAAAACCATCCTGTTATTATTAATTTCATAGTTCACCGACAAACTTGTCCATGTTTGTCAGAGTGACTTCCCATTTCCAATGTTTACTTCCTGTAAGCGTAAAAGGAAACTGAATGAATGAAACATGGTTCTTGGTGTTGTCTAGGAGGTAGATCTAGAAATCTAGAAGTAAATGGCTTGTCAAACAACAGTTCCTCACTGACAACAAATCTAAACGAGACACGAACTTTTTACTGGTAGAAGGAGTGGACGTTTTTATGAGGGCAGCGGTAACGTTGCTCCGGAATAAGGAGCCTGGAGGGCTGAGACGATGAGAACCACCGATTTCGCTACTAATCTTAGAGACAGAAAATATGGAAACGAAGAAAGCAATTCTACGATTCTTGCTTTCCCTTTTGGTAAGACTTTGATTGAGGCTGTAAAAGTATGACAGCATGTGTGTATAATGATGTCCAATATGATCTTTTGGCCACCTCTATTCTCACCCGGAGTGAGAATAGTGCAGGCGAGTCTTGTGGCTATTCTCACCGAAAGTGGCTATTCTCACCCGCCGGAAGTTCTCGCAAGATCAACTCCGGCTCTCCCCTCTTCTCTCTCTCTCTGTTTCTTTCTGAATACTGTCTATCGGTGTGGACGATCAAATTGACCAAAACAAAGTTAAAAAATGATGTTAGTTAAAACACAAAAGTAAATTAATTTGGTTGTCTACAAAGTCGACAAAGATGCTACGGCCATTTAACTTTTTGAATCGAGCCGAACTACGCGGGTCGCCATTTTGTTTTGCCCGGAAATTCTCGTGCT